TTGGCATTCAGGCCAAAGAGTTCAATCTTGGTTTCATCAGACCAGAGAATCTTGTTTCTCATGGTCTGAGAGTCCTTTAGGTGCCTTTTGGCAAACTCCAAGCGGGCTGTCATGTGCCTTTTACTGAGGAGTGGCTTCCGTCTGGCCACTCTACCATAAAGGCCTGATTGGTGGAGTGCTGCAAAGATAGTTGTCCTTCTGGAAGGTTCTCCCATCTCCACAGAGGAACTCTGGAGCTCTTTCAGAGTGACCTCCCTGACCAAGGTCCTTCTCCCCCGATTGCTCAGTTTGTCACGGTGGCCAGATTTAGGAAGAGTGTTGGTGGATCCAAACTTCTTCCATTTAAGAATGATGGAGGCCACTGTGTTCTTGGGGAAATTCAATGCTGCAGAAATTTTTTGGTACACTTCCCCAGATCTGTGCCTCGACACAATCCTGTCTCTGAGCTCTACGGACAATTCCTTTGACCTTATGTCTTGGTTTTTACTCTGACATGCACTGTCAATTGTGGGACCTTATATAGACAGGTGTGTGCCTTTCCAAATCATGTCCAATCAATTGAATTTCCAGCAGTTGGACTCCAATCAGTTTGTAGAAACATCTCAAGGATGATCAATGGAAATAGGATGCAGCTGAGCTCAATTTCAAGTCTCATAGCAAAGGGTCTGAATACTTATATAAAGTATTTCTGTTTTTAATTTTTTTATAAATTAGCAAACATTTCTTAAAACCTGTTTTCGCTTTGTCACTATGAGGTATTGTGTGTAGATTGATGAGGGTAAAATTAATTTCATCAATTTTTGAATAAGGCTGTAAAATGTGGAAAAAGTCAAGGGTTCTGAATACTTTCTGAATGCACTGTACATCATAACCAGCTTTTAGTGGTACTTTCACACCTTTAACATGCCATATAATATCTCATCCTGGACATTGAATGTGACTGGGTGTTTCTTTATGATGTCCGTACTACTAGATGGCTAACGATTTAACCCCATCAAGGTTCCGTGATTATCGAACAGATTGTGAGGGTCAGTCTTGTTATAGCAACAAAATTCACACAGATTTCAGCTGTCAAACCCTATTCTTTCCACTTCATCAGAAACAGGACTAGTAGTTTTCACTACTTATTTTCCAGTAACATGTTTTGAACTACAATGAAACTGATCTCCTTAGCTTATTTTGTATGAGTGCAATGGCCAATGATGAAAACTTTAAAAGAGATTTGATTAACATGTCACGGTAGCTAATAAGAACAGCTCTACTGTATGATACCACCAAAAGCATTATGCATACAACAAAATAACCCGAGTGAGGCATTCTCCTTTTTGAAATGCACAGCATTTATTTTAATAAAGTTACAAATGTATTTAGCAATATTGAACACTGCTTTGTCTACTTTTAACAAAATACATATACTTTTTCATCTATCTACTGTAGGACGTTACACATTCAAAGGAAATGAAAGCAATACACTTTACCCTGGTTGCCAACATCACCAAAATAAACGTTACAAGTGAAAATGTAATCTACAGAACGCTCAGGTAACTCCTCTATAGATTAAGTAGTCATACTGAGGGTGTTAGTAATGTAAAAATAGAATGTGTTAAAACACATTATACAGTATGGATATGACTGCTGTACTATTACATTCAAATAAAACAATTACCCTATTTTATACATGATATGATAATACAATATAATAATATTCAAAAACAGTTTGATAACTCCATCATTATAAGCCTACCAAGGTCTACCATCATACATGACTATGATGCTGAGTCACTGTATTCACTTTGCAGCTACAGTATATCACACAAGGTATCATACCAAATAAAATAATTATCAAAAGCTTTATATTCGCATATGCAGTAGTTATCCATCCAGATGTTCCAATTGGTGATACAGAGACATGTTATCCGTCTCACTGTGATTTGATCTTTAGTTTGAAAGGCACTAAATTGTTTAGGGGAGAGTGGGGTAAGTTATGCCATTTTTTACATTCAGCTTCACTCTGTCGAGGGAAATACAGTATAGTATTGGTTCTAACAAATATATAACAAACATTAGGAACACCTTCCTAATTTTGAGATGCATCTCCCTTTTTGCCCTCAGAACAGCCTCAGTTCGTCAGGGCATGGGCTCTATAAGGTGTCAAAAGCGTTCCCCAGGAATGCTGTCTGATGTTGACTCCATTGCTTTCCACAGTTGTGTCAAGTTGGCTGGATGTCCTTTGGGTGGTGGACCATTCTTGATACACATGGGATACTGTTGAGCGTGAAAAACCCAGCAACGTTGCAGTTCTTGACACAAACAGATCCGCCTAGCACCTACTACCATACCCTGTTCAAAGGCACTTAAATATTGTGTCTTGCCCATTCACCCTCTGAATGACTCACCTACACAATCCATGTCTCAATTGTGTCAAGGCTTAAAAATCCTTCCTTAACCTGTCTCCTCCCCTTCATCTACACTGACAGAAGTGGATTTAACAAGTGACATCAATAAGGGATCATAGCTTTCACCTGGATTCACCTGGTCAGTCTATGTCATGGAAAGAGCAGGTGTTCTTAATGTGTTGTATACTCAGTGTATTTCAGGATGTTGTGTATCCCTGAAAATAATCAAAATTATTGTAAACATTACAGTTTTGAAAACATCGCTTGTCCAAAACATTTTGGTCTCTTGCCAGCGGGACAGTGTAAGTTAAGCCGCCTACAAATGTCTGTACTGAATGAAATATTATCACTACCTTTTTTATAACCATGTCTATCTTTATTTCCCAAACATAATTCAACACAATCACAATCGCTTTTTGTCTTTTAATCATTTTAAGCATCTTTCAACACAGGCTTTACACCTAACAAACAGATTGTACTTTTTTAAAACACTTTTAACAGATGCCAGGCCCTGTTGTGCCCTCATATCCCAGCGATAATGCCTTTAATTAAGCCTGGGAAGAAAACACTTTAATTTGCTCAACTTGACATTGGTTCAACCTTTGGCCCAACTTACCTCACGGCAAACATTTTGACTATATTAGCCCACACAGCTACAAGGATGCACTTTCATGCTAGGTTTAGGACCTCATATTGATGCTTATGGAGACCCCAACTGATGTATAGAACCATTTTAAAAGTATCTACTTTGGTTTAGATACCATGAAACCTCTAGTTTCTTCCTTCACAGATGCCATGAAATAATGACCTCTTCCTAAATATTTTGTCAAATTATTAATTTTGTGTATGGTTTCCTAGAAACAAGGGTGGCTCAACTTACCCCTTTGGCTAAACTTACCCCACCCTTACAAAAAAAAAACATGTCCAATTTGCACATGTGAAATAGCTGTTTTCACATGTTGCGCTTAGATTTCACATGTGAAACCATATTTTCACAATAATTATTACATTTAGAATTTACATGTTAACACCACCTTTTCACATGTGAGAAGAATAACATGTTTTCACCTCATGTCAATTACAGTTTCACATGTGACATTTGCGGTTTCACATGTTAAAAACGTTCACCTAAAAATTTCACTTTACATGCAGAATTGCATTTTCACATTCACATCCAACTTTGAAAATCTCACTTTGTGGGGTTGAAATAATGTTATTCTCCTCACATTTGAAAAGTTGGTGTTAACATTTTGCAGTAGCAGTTTCCACCAGTGGAATTAGGGTGACCGCATCTAAAAAGCCCAAATGTGTGACAAGGGAATGATTTTGCGGGACATTCGCAGAACAGTGGACAGAATCAATTTTTTGGGGCAGGTTAATGGATCACGTTCAAATGGTGACATAGTTCTGCTATACAGTGTGAAGGTCACTGCCTGTTAAAGTTGCTACATCCATTTTTGGACTTCTAAATTAATATGTACCCATTGATTGAAATTCCTCCACAGCGACATGAGAGACTGATCAACAACTATAGGAAGCGTTTGGTTACAGTCATTGCAGCTTAAGGTGGCACAACCAGTTATTGAGTGTAAGGGGGCAATTACTTTTTCACACAGGGGAATTGGATGTTGCAGAACTTTGTTAATTAAATAAATAGAAATATGTGTTATTTATAAACTCAGGTTCCCTTTATCTAATATTAGGTTTTGGTTGAAGATCTGATAACATTCAGTATAACAAATATGCAACGATCAAAGAAAATCAGAAAGGGGCAAATACTTTTTCACTGTAGCGCCCTGCATGTCACTACTGCTTTGCCTCTAAAACTAAGCAGGATCGGTCCCTGGATCGGAGACCAGATGTAGCTGGAAGTGTTAAATAAAATTCACATTTGGGGATTTTTTTTTATGTGAAAGATTAACATGCAAATCTTCACAGGTGTCCAAAAATCACGTGTTTTTTCAAGTTTTTTTCACATTATTTTTTCTTTCATGTATTTGTTTTTGTAAGGGCACTCTCCCCTAGGCTTTTGGCCTGCAGCTACATCATCTTAGCTAGCTGAGTCATAATTAGGGCATGCTACTGTGCACACCAACTAATTGGGCTCAGACTTCAAACAGGTGGCAATATCTTCTAAACAAGTTATGACTAATCAAGCAGTTCTTGACTTTGACTTAAATAGGTGCTGGTACTCATTTGGGGTTATGTTACTGTTTATATGGTGCAGGCACTCCACAATACTTTTGAGCTAATATTCTGTATATTCTATAAGAAGTGCAGGAACTCAAGCAGTAGAAAAGTTGAGTCAAGCACTGCAATCAACTAAACAATGTTATAAAATATGAGGGCGGGGTTGTAATGTAATGTTACAAGAAAATCCATCAGGAATAGTGAATCCTGGTGGTGTTGCTAGACTAACAATTGATGTCAAAATCTAAATTGTCTTATCTAAAGTCACAACCTGACATCACTCAGTCAAAACCACTCAGTTGGAATGAAAACATTTTTAGGCTAATTAACATACTTGAATTAACTCACTGGCTTAGAAACAGTAATTCATGACCTACATGACTCTGTCATATCTTCCCAATTAATGACGTGTCACGTTTTCTCACTCATGTCACACCATGAGACAACAGAGCAACACTTAACCACACTCAAAATTGCGAAAGTACGAAATCGATACATAGCAGCAATCTCTTCTAAGGTCTGTTCAACCCTCTCCACTCTCCAACCAAGACTCAGTACTTACAGTGAGGGGAAAAAGTATTTGATCCCCTGCTGATTTTATACATTTGCCCACTGACAAAGAAATGATCAGTCTATAATTTTAATGGTAGGTTGAGAGACAGAATAACAACAAAAACATCCAGAAAAACGCATGTCAAAAATTTTATAAATTGATTTGCATTTTAATGATGGAAATAAGTATTTGACCCCTCTGCAAAACATGATTTAGTTCTTGGTGGCAAAACTCTTGTTGGCAATCACAGAGGTCAGACGTTTCTTGTAGTTGGCCACCAGGTTTGCACACATCTCAGGAGGGATTTTGTCCCACTCCTCTTTGCAGATCTTCTCCAAGTCATTAAGGTTTCGAGGCTGACGTTTGGCAACTCGAACCTTCAGCTCCCTCCACATATTTTCTATGGGATTAAGGTCTGGAGACTGGCTAGGACACTCCAGGACCTTAATGTGCTTCTTCTTGAGCCACTCCTTTGTTGCCTTGGCCGTGTGTTTTGGGTCATTGTCATGATGGAATACCCATCCCACAACCCATTTTCAATGCCCTGGCTGAGGGAAGGAGGTTCTCACCCAATATTTGACGGTACATGGCCCCATCCATCGTCCCTTTGATGCGGTGAAGTTGTCCTGTCCCCAAAGCATAATGTTTCCCCCTCCATGTTTGACGGTGGGGATGGTGTTCTTGGGGTCATAGGCAGCATTCCTCCTCCTCCAAACACGGCGAGTTGAGTTGATGCCAAAGAGCTCCATTTCGGTCTCATCTGACCACAACACTTTCACCCAGTTCTCCTCTGAATCATTCAGATGTTCATTGGCAAACTTCAGACGGGCATGTATATGTGCTTTCTTGAGCAGGGGGACCTTGCGGGCGCTGCAGGATTTCAGTCCTTCACGGCGTAGTGTGTTACCAATTGTTTTCTTGGTGACTATGGTCCCAGCTGCCTAGAGATCATTGACAAGATCCTCCCGTGTATGTCTGGGCTGATTCCTCACCATTCTCATGATCATGGCAACTCCACGAGGTGAGATCTTGCATGGAGCCCCAGGCCGAGGGAGATTGACAGTACTTTTGTGTTTCTTCCATTTGCGAATAATCGCACCAACTTTTGTCACCTTCTCACCAAGCTGCTTGGCAATGGTCTTGTAGTCCATTCCAGCCTTGTGTAGGTCTACAATCTTGTCCCTGACATCCTTGGAGAGCTCTTTGGTCTTGGCCATGGTGGAGAGTTTGGAATCTGATTGATTGATTGCTTTTGTGGACAGGTGTCTTTTATACAGGTAACAAACTGAGATTAGGAACACTCCCTTTAAGAGTGTGCTCCTAATCTCAGCTCGTTACCAGTACGTGGTCCTCTGTAGCTCAGCTGGTAGAGCACGGCGCTTGTAACGCCAAGGTAGTGGGTTCGATCCCCGGGACCACCCATACACAAAAAATAAAAAATGTATGCACGCATGACTGTAAGTCGCTTTGGATAAAAGTGTCTGCTAAATGGCATATTATTATTATTATTATTATAAAAGACACCTGGGAGCCAGAAATCTTTCTGATTGAGAGGGGGTCAAATACTTATTTCCCTCATTAAAATGCAAATCAATTTATAACATTTTTGACATGCGTTTTTCTGGATTATTTTGTTGTTATTCTGTCTCTCACTGTTCAAATAAACCTACCATTAAAATTATAGACTGATCATTTCTTTGTCAGTGGGCAAACGTACAAAATCAGCAAGGGATCAAATGCTTTTTTCCCTCACTGTAGGTATGTAGGTACCTCAATGTCTCCATCTTGCCATAGTCAGGCAATAGCAAGGCCCTTCACAATGGGTTTGGTGTTGTTGGTATCGTTGGTCCTGCCGTTCTCCACCCTGCGGACGGAGGAGTTAAAGGACCTCCTCTTCAAGATCTTGTTGGCCAGGTCACTGCATGTCTTCCTGTACTGGTTTCGGAGCAGTGAGTAGACAAAAGGGTCGCAGGCTGCCTTGCTGTAGGCCAAACACTTGGACAGGACACCCCAGTGAGGGCTTATGTGTCCTGGGGTGAGGATCTCCACGATTCTGCCATGACAAACACACAGAATAAGTTATATTATTAACAGTGTTTAGCTTAAAATGACTGTTTCATAGACCAGTAAAAATACAACACAGATGTCAAAAATCCTAATTTCCGGAGGAAACTCTTTATTAACTAGCTTAACAAAATTCCAACATTTCGCTTCAAAATGCCATGGCTCTGATTCGATAGTGACTGTTAGGGGATGTGGAGTTGCTCTTGTTTGTCTCACTGTCATTATCATGCTGTATAGAGGCGTTACACAAGGACAAGGCTTATTCTCTGAATGTTTAGGTCAGGTCACTGGTCGTATAATTCACAGCAGCTATCAAACTCACAATGAGGATCTCACTATCATTATACCCCCTGATGTGATCTTCTTCTTCACGGTTATATTGTATCTGCTTCTGAAGGGTTGGTGCTGCACTTCTACAATAGGTAGCAGGTTTAATGAGAAGTATCGTCATGGTCTCTGACTTACTCATAATCACACGTCCTCTCATGCTAATTCTCCCATGGATTGTCTTTCTCTTATACTCTTTCTATTTCTCTCTTCCCTGGGGCTTCCTCCTAAACCGTATGAAAAAAATAAACATGCATCTATGAACCTCTCCTTCTAGGGTTACAACAAAATCACCCTCAAGCTGATTGATTAGTGATTGAGACACTGGATCAATTGAACATAGTCAGATGGGGTTGTAGAAATTGACTATGGCCGAATCCTGAATTGAAATTCATTAACACAAAGCAGTTGTCCTCATTGCAAATTCAATCATTTTACCCACTGGGCTAAAGCACAAGTCATTGGCGCAGGAAGTAGACAACTTCATTGGTCTCAGATGGGGAACTGATGTCATCACAGCAGCCAATCTCACAATGTAACACTACCACACATGCACAGTGTTGTTGAGGGTAGATTTGAACCTCTGCTCACCTCGTAATGACGTAGGGGGAGAAGCACACCACAAACGTTCCAATGAATGTGCTGATCTTCTTGGTGGCTCTCTGCCTCCGCTGTCTCTGCTCATCCAGGCATCGCTGGCGTACACTACCAAAGGACAGAGGGGACCATTATCACCCCAAGGGACGTACAGGAACACAGGTTTAAACATGGCCTCTCGAGAGGGATGAAGGGTGATGAGGAAAACAGCATGCTTCTATGGACAGTGTCAGAGCTCAGCTTCAGGTCAATGCCAATGGATTGTTCAAGATATCTGAACAGTAACACATCCATTATGTAAATCAAGTCGAATTCCAGGTCCATTCTTATTCTTTAATTGACTGGTAATAACATGGAGTTGACCACAGCATAGCTTAGAAAGATAAAGGAATGATAACATAAGAGAAAGTGATGCAGACAGTGAGATGACGTTAATTGACTGATTTGAGGCTAGTTTAACTACTTGAGTTATGTAATGTGGAGGTGATTGAAAAGGGATCATCAAATACAGTAAACCATACATGACATGGATGTTAACTATATCCAGAAATAATTACACATGCTAATATCCTAACATCTATGATGTAGAGAGAAAATGCTTCAGGGTGATTCAATCATATCTCTGCTCACATCTTTCTCATCCCTCACTGAACAGCTCTTTGAATGTTTGAGGAAAGCTGGGCTGAGTAGACCTAAACTGATCTAATACTGTATCTCATCTCAAAGAATGTAAAGGATCCACATCAGAGCATTTTGATGTATTTGATTTTATTAAAACTAATGTTAAAAATGTGGAATTATTTTTACTTTGCTGTATGTAGGATATTGTAATGTTGGCATGACCATAGTATTGCCTATGACAAGATATGAAAATGCAAGGCAAATTTGATGATTATTGGTTAACTAACTGCCAATAATGCCTGTCTAGGCTATTCAACTCGTGAATTTAAATCACAATTTATAATGGTTTTGATCTGTATGTGAATAGTTTTCGGGTTGGAATATATTTGTGTCATTTTAGTTTTGATAAAGGGGGCTGAGATCTGAGACCGGAACATTGGACCAAAACTGTGGTGCTGAAATCAATCATAACGCCACTGAAGTCGCATTGTGCAATCACAATTTGTGGGCTAATCATTATTTATTTGTTATTTTTTTTATATATATTTTAGGGGGTAGATTAGCTTTAATATTGCAGATAGATTGTGGCTTCTATCAATGTAATTGTCTTCATTTCTAATCCCCTATATATATGTTTTGTAAATATACTGTATATTTTCGCCCTACCACCTATCCCCTAATTGGAGTAAACTAAACGACAACAATACTTAAGCTTCTACTTCCAGCTTATACATAATATTTACATTTTACGGACACAGTATGTTTTACATTATATTTTTTGGTTTGATTGATTGATCAATTGACTATGATTTTTCAAATCACCCTGCAGTGCTATTTGCCGAGTTGGCTCCAGGTAAATGTTGCAATTCTTCAGCCATTCCTGAACCTGCGACCTAAAACAAGCTACATTTGGGCAGTACCAAAACAATCGTAAATAAGGGCTAATCTTAAAACATGTAAAAAGTAAATGAATCAGACAAGGCTTAACAGCTTACCTAGGGTGAATATCCACAAGCAGCAATAAGGTCTGCATAGTGATCACGTCGATGCGTTTACAGTGAAACCGCGCAACTTTCAGCACTTTCAGGTACGTTACACACAACACGATCAAGGTCAGGAGAAAAGTGAGCGAGTGTAAAACCACAGTGTAGATGATGAACTGCGTCTGGGTGTCGCTTGCTCTCGCATTGCAGAGCGTACACGATGCGTAAAGGTGATGGTACCCAACCCAGGAGAGGCAAGTGGCCACCGTGGCGAAGGAGAGCGAGTGTATCCACGTGTATGCCAGAGCTATCACTGCGTCCCGGTGTCGTATTCTGGAGTGGTAGCTCAGCGGAAAAACCACCGCCACCCATCTATCGATGCTCAAAGCCCCCATACTGAGCATTGAGTTCGTGGTGAGAAAAGTGTCCAGAAAACCCACAGTTTGACAGAACCCGCTACTTCCAGGGTTTCCTTTGTTGATAAGTCCGACCAGAGTTAGAGGCATGGTAGAAACGGTAAGAAACAGGTTGCAGAAGGTGAGGTTGAGGATAAACAACCCGGGAACCTGCTTTCGAATCTCTTGGTTGTACAGAAAGCAGATAAGCACCACCACGTTGGACAGCAACGAGACAACGATGACCACTACTACAAACACAAAGACAGGTATGTCCGCTATAGGCATGGTGCGTGCGTCCCGCTCAAAAATACGGACTTTTGACAATTGAATCCACCATCCAGTTTCTGAAACAAATTACATATAGCATCTTGCTGGAACTACGAGGTCCAAACATAAACATCCGACACTGTGTCACAATTATTATTCGTTGTCCTTCTGGTGTCTCCATGTAACTATACAGCCGGCTCACTATGGGGAGTGGCAAGGAAGCACATCCAAGTATCATGGATGTTATGTGATACGGACTGAACCACTGTCTCCGGGGACGGGTGATTAACAAAATAGAGACACCCCTGCACGTGTGACTGCAGTTAGTTTCCAAGTATTTATTCCTTGCCTTGCTAGCGCAACTACCCCTCGTTGCGCAATTGCGCAGTGCACTGATTGAAAGCTTTGCAAACACGCAGCGCAGTCTTTCCTATGGTGTGTCTCCGGGGATGCTTTTGTTGTATATATATCACCCATCACCCACACCCGTATGCTACACACTCGATCGACTCCCCAAAGCTACCAAAAATAGATTTATTTAAAAATAGAACATCATGCGTTAAGTGTCGACTCATATCACTGACATCGTGCCAGACCCTACAATTAGATGAACGTGCAACATATTGATCTCTGTGTTATCTCTGTTTGATGTAAATCCCATATATCTGGGGGTGTTGGGAAAGGCAGAAGACACAGCCAGAAGATTGCTGATTCAAGCCCATGGGCCGGGCAACACAAAAATGGGAATGGAACTGAACTGATAGCTGTAAGGCTGCTGGTCTCTGATCCCATGTACATTGTGCCCTTGAGCAAGGAACCTGACCCCCACAATTGCTCTCCATCCAGGGGCGCTGCACTGCTACTGACCCTGTGCCTCTCAACGTGTTTGTGTTTGTGTGTGTATCTGGGGGTGTTGGGAAAGGCAGAAGACACATTTCTGTTCTAACTAATGGACAATAAAGTTGTATTCTATTCTATGAATTGTGTGGACAAACACCCAGTGTGACTATCTACAAAGTGTAATTGTCATCATTTGTATGCCATACTGTGAAGCTTGAAGCTGCCATTCTTTAAAAATACTGCTTTTCCAATTACTGATGCACAGTTGGTCCCCATCCACATTTGTATGGTCCGTTGCACAGATGCTACACTGGCTCCTTATGCACACACACACTATTTACAGCACACAGTCTAGAAAGATGTCTGATAACATCCCATGACCAACAAGCATGGGTTGGAATTCATACTACATGTGATTGTATGGGGGGAATCAAAGTGTAGCTACTGTTTCTGCTAAATGTTGAATGCTAGGAAAGTTAATAAATAATTCAAGAGAATGGCAATGCAATGTAGAGGTCGCTGTGCAGCTGTGCTGAAAGAGATGACAAATATGTGTTATTTCTCCATAAGACAAGATAGGATGGTTCATGTTGCAATGCTGCTGGAGTGGACAACAGGTGATTGTACTGATTCACGTCAATGACAGTGACAGGGAAGAGACATATGTTTTTGGCAGATGCTGTGGAACCCCCTGACGTCCTCTTTACAAGGGTGCATCTGGTAAACACTGAGTAGAACAGACACCAACAGATATAGTCACGTCTCAATCAATGGAGGGATTATTTTGTATTTATTGAGAATTTCAATGTACTGTGAGTTGAGATGGATATCTAGTTGTTTCGACTAATTATTATTAAGTAACTGGTTCCACAGTCTTTTTTTGTGTTACCTGAACAAAACAATTATTGTTGGCCCAAACTTAGCTCCATCTTGGGAAAACTTTGGCAAAAATTCAGTCAATTTAAAATGATGTGTTTGCTCAACTTGTAACATACTGAATGTTCATTCAACTATAAATTATTATTTGGGCATCTTAACTAAAAACAGCAGTCCAACTGGTTATGGTTACACACACAGTCAGTGCTTTTAACATACAATATTTTCTGCTTCCATATTTGACAGACATTGTGCATGTTCATTTATATAGTAATTATTATTCAACATGTCGTCACCTGGTATTTGAACTCACAACCTCTTGATTCAAGGCATTCCGATCTTCCTGCTACACCAACATGTCTGTGTCAATTATCAGTTAATCTGACTGTTCTCTCATCATTGATTTGATTGACTTATTTAATACATTTTAGGTTTTTCTGGATAGTGTTTATGGAGCATATTACTCTGTTTTAATTTGACTCCTTAATCACTATGATGAATACAATAGTTTTTCTTGAGTGTAGTTTTAATAGAGCTGATATTTACTTTTAAGTGCTAAGTGTAGTAATACAGGTGAAATCACTTATTGACACAGCCATGGTGGCATAGCAGGAAGATTGGAATGATGTGAACCTAGAGGGTTTGAGTTCAAATATGTTGAATATTAATTACTGTATAAATGAACATGCACAATGTAATCATATGTGTCAAATGCTGTATGTAAGTTGAAAATGTTGTGTGGTCAAGGCACTGTGTGTGTAACTAGTTCCACAGCATTTTTTCAGGTAAGATGCCGAAATAAGAATTTCTAGTTGAATGAACATATGAGACAATTTGAGCAAACACATCATTTTAAGTTAACAGAATTGTTGCCTGCCCTTTCTCATGTTGGAGCTAAATTTGGGCCAACTAAAAAGTATAAGTAAAAGTATAAGTTACAGTGAGCTCCAAAATTATTGGGACAGTGACACATTTTTTGGTTGCTTTGGTTCTGTACTCCAGCACTACACATACAAATATCATACCCCCAAGACATGCTAACCTCTCAACATTACAATAACAGGGGAGGTGTCAAGTTCGTTACATGATGCGACGGACCAAGGCGCAGCGTGGTAAGCGTACATTTTATTTAATTAACGTACTTAACACACACGAACAAAACAACAAACCAAACGATACGTAAAGTCCTAGGTTAACACCAAAACAAACCATACGGAACAAGATCCCACAATAAACAGTGCCAAACAGGCTGCCTAAGTATGGTCCCCAATCAGAGACAACAAGCTACAGCTGCCTCTGATTGGGAACCACCCTGGCCAACATAGAAATACACGAACTAGAACAAAACATAGAAAATAACACATAGAAAATCCACACCCTGGCTCAACATATAAGAGTCCCCAGAGCCAGGGCGTGACAGGAGGCTAGCATTCTTGGGGGGTTATGATATTTATGCGTCTGTAACTTTCTCATTATTCACGATTCATTCAGAATTATCCGTAATTATGGTAAAATCCACGTTAATGTAAAGTGTTTAGAAACATATTATATTCTTATTTAAAATAAGACACAATACATTATTTAACATAAATTTATATTGGGGACAAAATAATCTGAAACACAACCAAAACAAACAGCAAATGCATCAAACAAATTTGTAGAGTCACAAGCTTAATGTAGTCATTGCGTGCTATGAATATGGGACCAAACACTTTTTTTGACTTTAATACACATATAAGTGAATTTGTCCCAATACTTTTGGTCCTCTAAAATGGAGGACTATGTACAAAGAGCGCTGTAACCTCTACAGTGCCTTGCAAAAGTATTCATCCCCCTTGGCGTTTCTCCTATTTTGTTGCATTACAACCAGTAATTTAAATGGATTTTTATTTGGATTTCATGTAATGGACAGACACAAAATAGTCCACATTGGTGAAGTGAAATGAAAAAAATTCAAAAAAAATAAATAACTGAAAAGCGGTGCGTGCATACAGTGGGGAGAACAAGTATTTGATACACTGCCGATTTTGCAGGTTTTCCTACTTACAAAGCATGTAGAGGTCTGTAATTTTTATCATAGGTACACTTCAACTGTGAGAGACGGAATCTAAAACAAAAATCCAGAAAATCACATTGTATGATTTTTAAGTAATTAATTTGCATTTTATTGCATGACATAAGTATTTTGATACATCAGAAAAGCAGAACTTAATATTTGGTACAGAAACCTTTGTTTGCAATTACAGAGATCATATGTTTCCTGTAGGTCTTGACCAGGTTTGCACACACTGCAGCAGGGATCTTGGCTCACTTCTCCATACAGACCTTCTCCAGATCCTTCAGGTTTTGGGGCTGTCGCTGGGCAATACAGACTTTCAGCTCCCTCCAAAGATTTTCAATTGGGTTCAGGTCTGGAGACTGGCTAGGCCACTCCAGGACCTTGAGATGCTTCTTACGGAGCCACTCCTTAGTTGCCCTGGCTGTGTGTGTCGGGTCGTTGTCATGCTGGAAGACCCAGCCACGACCCATCTTCAATGCTCTTACTGAGGGAAGGAGGTTGTTGGCCAAGATCTCGCGATACATGGCCCCATCCATCCTCCCCTCAATACGGTGCAGTCGTCCTGTCCCCTTTGCAGAAAAGCATCCCCAAAGAATGATGTTTCCACCTCCATGCTTCACGGTTGGGATGGTGTTCTTGGGGTTGTACTCATCCTTCTTCTTCCTCCAAACACGGCGAGTGGAGTTTAGACCAAAAAGCTCTATGTTTGTCTCATCAAACCACATGACCTTCTCCCATTCCTCCTCTGGATCATCCAGATGGTCATTGGCAAACTTCAGACGGGCCTGGACATGCGCTGGCTTGAGCAGGGGGACCTTGCGTGCGCTGCAGGATTTTAATCCATGACGGCGTAGTGTGTTACTAATGGTTTTCTTTGAGACTGTGGTCCCAGCTCTCTTCAGGTCATTGACCAGGTCCTGCCATGTAGTTCTGGGCTGATCCCTCACCTTCCTCATGATCATTGATGCCCCACGAGGTGAGATCTTGCATGGAGCCCCAGACCGAGGGTGATTGACCGTCATCTTGAACTTCTTCCATTTTCTAATAATTGCGGCAACAGTTGTTGCCTTCTCACCAAGCTGCTTGCCTATTGTCCTGTAGCCCATCCCAGCCTTGTGCAGGTCTACAATGTTATCCCTGATGTCCTTACACAGCTCTCTGGTCTTGGCCATTGTGGAGAGGTTGGAGTCTGTTTGATTGAGTGTGTGGACTGGTGTCTTTTATACAAGTAACGAGTTCAAACAGATGCAGTTAATACAGGTAATGAGTGGAGAACAGGAGGGCTTCTTAAAGAAAAACTAACAGGTCTGTGAGAGCCGGAATTCTTACTGGTTGGTAGGTGATCAAATACTTATGTCATGCAATAAAATGCAAATTAATTACTTAAAAATCATACAATGTGATTTTCTGGATTTTTGTTTTAGATTCAGTCTCTCACAGTTGAAGTGTACCTATGATAAAAAATTACAGACCTCTACATGCTTTGTAAGTAGGAAAACCTGCAAAATCGGCAGTGTATCAAATACTTGTTCTGCCCACTGTATGTATTCACCCCCTTTGCTATAAAGCCCCTAAATAAGATCTGGTGAAACCAATTATCTTCAGAAGTCACATAGTTAGTTAAATAAAGTCCACCTGTGTGCAATCTAAGTGTCACATGATCTGACACATGATCTCAGTATATATACACCTGTTCTGAAAGGCCCCAGAGTCTGCAACACCACTAAGCAATGGATACCACCAAGCAAGCGGCACCATGAAGACCAAGGAGCTCTCCAAACAGGTCAGGAACAATGTTGTGGAGAAGTACAGATCAGGGTTGGGTTATAAAAAAATATCCAAAACTTTGAACATCCAACGGAGCACCATTAAATCCATTATAAAAAAATTGAAAGAATATGGCACCACAACAAATCTGCCAAGAGAAGGCCGCCCACCAAAACTCACGGACCAGGCAAGGAGAGCATTAATCAGAGAGGCAACAAATAGACCACAGATAACCCTGAAGGAGCTGCAAAGCTCCACAGCGGAGATTGGAGTATCCACTTTAAGCCGTACACTCCACAGAGCTGGGGTTTATGGAAGAGTTGCCAGAAAAAAGCCATTGTTTAAAGAAAGAAATAAGCAAACATGTTTGGTGTTCGCCAAAAGGCATGTGGGAGACTCCCCAAACATATGGAAGAAGGTACTCTAGTCAGATGAGACTAAAATTGAACTTTTTGGCCATCAAGGAAAACGCAAACCCAACATCTCTCATCACCCCGAGAACACCATCCCCACAGTGAAGCATGGTGGTGGCAGCAGCATCATGCTGTGGGGATGTTTTTCATCGGCAGGGACTGGGAAACTGGTCAGAATTGAAGGAATTATGGATGGCGCTAAATACAGGGAAATTCTTGAGGGAAACCTGTTTCAGTCTTCCAGAGATTTGAGACTGGGACGGAGGTTCACCTTCCAGCGGGACAATGACCCTAAGCATACTGCTAAAGCAACACTCGAGTGGTTTAAGGGGAAACATTTAAATGTCTTGGAATGGCCTAGTCAAAGCCCAGACCCCAATCCAATTGAGAATCTGTGGTATGACTTAAAGATTGCTGTACACCAGCGGAACCCATCCAACTTGAAGGAGCTGGAGCAGTTTTGCCTTGAAGAATGGGCAAACATCCCAGTGGCTAGAGACATACCCCAAGAGACTTGCAGCTGTAATTGCTGCAAAAGGTGGCTCTACAAAGTATTGACTTTGGGGGGTGAATAGTTATGTACGTTCAATATTTTTTTGGGGGGATCTTATTTCTTGTTTGTTTCACAAGATAAAATATTTTGCATCTTCGAAGTGGAAGGCATGTTGTGTAAATCAAATGATACAAACCCACAAAAAATCCATTTTAATTCCAGGTTGTAAGGCAACAAAATAGGAAAAATGCCAAGGAGGGTGAATACTTTTGCAAGCCGCTGTAAATGGTTCACCCGATATGCTGACAGTCTGCACTTTATATCATTTTGTATCATGTTTCATCATTTCAAATGTACAGAGCCAAAACACCAAAAATTGTGTCACTGTTCCAATGCTTTTGGAGCTCACTGTATATGTTAGATTAATTTCTGGGCTGAATTAAAAGCATGTATATTATCTAATTAGATCTAAAGTGATTTCTCCACCACCAGAGAGGATCAGAATCAGAGTCTTTGAAAAGAAAGTGGTCAAGACTGTGATAGTGGCAAGGCATTGATAGTGTCTACAGATAGTTGTCTAATTAATGAATCCAAGATGGCGTAGCAGTGCGGTCGTGTATTCTGTTGTGTCCTCATGTAAATAGCCAGTTTTTTAGTTTTTTGTATTTTTTCGTATATACACTGCTCAAATAAATAAAGAAAAACACTTAAACAACACATCCTAGATCAAAATGAATGAAATAATCTTATTAAATACTTTTTTCTTTACATAGTTGAATGTGCTGACAACAAAATCACACAAAAATTATCAATGGAAATCAAATTTATCAACCCATGGAGGTCTGGATTTGGAGTCACCCTCAAAATTAAAGTGGAAAACCAAACTACAGGCTGATCCAACTTTGATGTAATGTTCTTAAAACAAGTCAAAATGAGGCTCAGTAGTGTGTGTGGCCTCCACGTGCCTGTATGACCTCCCTACAACGCCTGGGCATGCTCCAGATGAGGTGGCGGATGGTCTCCTGAGGGATCTCCTCCCAGACCTGGACTAAAGCATCTGCCAACTCCTGGACAGTCTGTGGTGCAATGTGGCATTGGTGGATGGAGCGAGACATGATGTCCCAGATGTGCTCAATTGGATTCAGGTCTGGGGAACGGGCGGGCCAGTCCATAGCATCAATGCCTTCCTCTTGCAGGAACTGCTGACACACTCCAGCCACATGAGGTCTAGCATTGTCTTGCATTAGGAGGAACCCAGGGCCAAATGCACCAGCATATGGTCTCACAAGGGGTCTGAGGATCTCATCTCGGTACCTAATGGCAGTCAGGCTACCTCTGGCGAGCACATGGAGGGCTGTGCGGCCCCCCAAAGAAATGCCACCCCACACCATGACTGACCCACCGCCAAACCGGTCATGCTGGAGGATGTTGCAGGCAGCAGAACATTCTCCACGGCGTCTCCAGACTGTGTCACATCTGTCACATGTGCTCAGTGTGAACCTGCTTTCATCTGTGAAGAGCACAGGGCGCCAGTGGCGAGTTTGCCAATCTTGGTGTTCTCTGGCAAATGCCAAACGTCCTGCACGGTGTTGGGCTGTAAGCACAACCCCCACCTGTGGACGTCGGGCCCTCATACCACTCTCATGGAGTCTGTTTCTGACTGTTTGAGCAGACACATGCACATTTGTGGCCTGCTGGAGGTCATTTTGCAGGGCTCTGGCAGTGCTCCGCCTGCTCCTCCTTGCACAAAGGCGGAGGTAACAGTCCTGCTGCTGGGTTGTTGCCCTCCTACGGCCTCCTCCACGTCTCCTGATGTACTGGCCTGTCTCCTGGTAACGCCTCCATGCTCTGGACACTACGCTGACAGACACAGCAAACCTTCTTGCCACAGCTCGCATTGATGTGCCATCCTGGATGAGCTGCACTACCTGAGCCACTTGTGTGGGTTGTAGACTCCATCTCATGCTACCACTAGAGTGAAAGCACCGCCAGCATTCAAAAGTGACCAAAACATCAGCCAGGAAGCATAGGAACTGAGAAGTGGTCTGTGGTCACCACCTGCAAAACCAGTCCTTTATTGGGGGTGTCTTGCTAATTGCCTATAATTTCCACCTGTTGTCTATTCCATTTGCACAACAGCATGTGAAATGTATTGTCAATCAGTGTTGCTTCCTAAGTGGACAGTTTGATTTCACAGAAGTGTGATTGACTTGGAGTTACATTGTGTTGTTTAAGTGTTCCCTTTATTTTTTTGAGCAGTGTATTTCTCTCTCACTTTCCATATTTTAACTAAATATACTTTCCTGCAACCCGCCTCACCCAATGTGGAACGGATTCTATTATTTCTTTATTTTTATCAAGAACCTACGGCTGAAACTAGCCAGCTAGCCAGCTAATTAGCTACTTGCTTTTAGCCACCGTTAGCGGTCTTCACCACTGTCCATGGCCTGCACTACCTACCAGCCAGCTCTAGACTGGACAATTATCGGCCAGTCTGCACAGCGTACTATCGACCCAGAGCATATCGGATTTTCTGCTGGAATCACTGGACCTTAACACCGGATCATCGCAACTTGCTAGCTGCAACCGAGTGGCTGTTGTTGTTGTTGGCTAATCACCACTGTCCGAAGCTAGCCCCAGTTAGCCTTGAGCTAGCCTCGAGCCAGGCCCATCTCCCGGCTATCTACCTCTCTGTCAACCGGACGGGACCTCCTAGTGTCGACACGGAGCCCCGCCGATCCATCACGACTGGTCTGCCGACGTAATCGTCTGATGTGGTTTCAACAAGCTTCCCGTTGCGACGACCACGAAGATCCATCTGCTAGCCCCGGCCCGCTAGCACGCGCAATCAACAGCCGTGCCTCCTGCTCGCCTGTGCTGTAACCGCTCCCGGACTTACCTATTGCTGTTCACTGGACCTTATAATCACTCAGCTACACAGCTGATGCCTGCTGGACTGTTCCTTTACACGGTACCTTATCCTGTTTATTTGTTTAGCCTCAGCCCAAACTTTCGTCGCCATTACCAGATGTTGTCTTAGCCTTCTCGAATAACTGCTGTGATTGCGTTATGCCTCTCTCCATGTCAATATGCCTAGCCTATTGCTGTTTGGGCTAGTTCTAATTGTACTATTTCACTGTAAAGCCCCCACTCCCGCTCAACCAGCCTCAGAGAGCTCCTTTGTCCCACCCCCCATACACGCGGAGACCGGCTCAATCGGTACCTCCAGTGATGCTACCTCTTTCATTGTTACACAATGCTTAGGTGTACCTCCACTGTACTCATATCCTTCCATATCCTTGTCTGTACATAATGCCCTGAATCTATTCTACAACGGCCGGAAATCTGCCCCTTTTATTCTCTGTACCCAACGCACTAGAAGACCAGTTCTTAAAGCCTTTAGCCGTATCCTTATTCTATTCCTCCTCTGTTCCTCTGGGTGATGTAGAGGTTAACCCAGGCCCTGTAGCCCCCAGTATCACTCCTACTCCCCAGGCGCTATCATTTGTTGACTTCTGTAACCGTAAAAGCCTTGGTTTCTTGCATGTTAACATCAGAAGCCTCCTCCCCAAGTTTGAGTTATTCACTGCGTTAGCACACTCCGCCAACCCTGATGTTCTAGCAGTGTCTGAATCCTGGCTTAGGAAGGCCACCAAAAATGCAGAAATTTCCATTCCGAATTACAACATTTTCGATCTAGATAGAACTGCCAAAGGGGGCGGAGTTGCAATCTACTGTAGAGATAGCCTGCAGAGCTCTATCATACTATCCAGGTCTGTGCCCAAACAGTTCTAAAAATTCACCTTTCCAGAAATAAGTCTCTCACTGTTGCCGCTTGCTACAGACACCCCTCAGCCCCCAGTTGTGCCCTGGACACCATATGTGAATTGCTTCCCCCCCATCTATCCTCAGAGTTCGTACTGCTTGGTGACCTAAACTGGGATATGCTTAACACCCCGGCCGTCCTGCAATCTAAACTAGATGCCCTCAATCTCACACAAATTATCAAGGAACCTACCAGGTACAACCCTAAATCCGTAAACATGGGCACCCTCATAGATATCATCCAGACTAATTTACCCTCTAAATACACCTCCGCTGTCTTCAACCAGGATCTCAGCGATCACTGCCTCATTGCCTACGTCCGTAATGGGTCCGCGGTCAAATGACCACCCCTCATCACTGTCAAAGGCTCCCTAAAACACTTCAGCGAGCAGGCCTTTCTAATTGACCTGGCCCGGGTATCCTGGATGGATATTGACCTTATTCCGTCAGTAGAGGATGCCTGGATGTTCTTCAAAAGTGCTTTCCTCTCCATCTTAAATAAGCATGCCCCATTCAAAAAATGCAGAACTAAGAACAGATATAGCCCCTGGTTCACCCCAGACTTGACTACCCTTGACCAGCACAAAAACATCCTGTGGCATACTTCATTAGCATCGAACAGCCCCCGCGATATGCAACTTTTCAGGGATGTCCGGAACCAATATACACAATCAGTTAGGAAAGCAAAGGGTAGCTTTTTCAAACAGAAATTTGCATCCTGTAGCACTAACTCCAAAAAGTTTTGGGACACTGTAAAGTCCATGGAGAATAAGAGCACCTCCTCCCAGCTACCCCTTACACTGAGGCTAGGAAACACTGTCACCACCGATAAATCTACGATAATTGAGAATTTCAATAAGCATTTTGCTACGGCTGGCCATGCTTCCACCTGGCTACCCCTACCCCGGCCACCAGCTCTGCATCCTCCGCTGCAACTTGCCCATGCCCCCCCCCCCCCCCCCCCCCCCCCCCCCCCCCCCCGCTTCTCCTTCACCCAAATTCAGATAGCTGATGTCCTGAAAGTGCTGCAAAATCTGGACCCCTACAAATCAGCTGGGCTAGATAATCTAGACCCTTTCTTTCTAAAATTAGCCGCAGAAATTGTCGCAACCCCCATTACTAGCCTGTTCAACCTCTCTTTCGTATCGTCTGAGATCCCCAGGCAGGTACCTTAGTGGTTCTCAGATAGAGTTCAATGTGTCAAATCGGAGGTCCTGTTGTCTGGACCTCTGGCAGTCTCTATGGGGGTGCCACAGGGTTCAATTCTTGGGCCGACTCTATTCTCTGTGTATATCAATGATGTCTCTCTTGCTGCTGGTGACTCTCAGATCCATCTCTACGCAGACGACACCATTTTGTATACATCTGGCCCTTCATTGGACACTGTGTTAACAAACCTCCAAACGAGCTTCAATGCCATACAACACTCCTTCCGTGGCCTCCAACTGCTCTTAAACGCTAGTAAAACTAAATGCATGCTCTTCAATCGAACGCTGCTTGCACCCGCCCGCCCGACTATAATCACTACTCTCGGCCGGTCTGACTTAGAATATGTGGACAACTACAAATACCTAGGTGTCTGGTTAGACCGTAAACTCGCCTTCCAGACTCACATTAAGCATCTCCAATCCAAAGTTAAATCTAGAATCGGCTTCCTATTTCGCAACAAAGCCTCCTTCACTCATGCTGCTAAACATGCCCTCGTAAAACTGACTATCCTACCGATCCTTGACTTCGGCGATGTCATTTACAAAATAGCTTCCAACACTCTACTCAGCATATTGGATGTAGTCTATCACAGTGCCATCCGTTTTGTCACAAAAGCCCCATATACTACACACCATTGTGAGCTGTACGCTCTCGTTGGCTGGCCCTCACTACATATTTGTCGCCAAACCCACTGGCTCCAGGTCATCTATAAATCACTTCTAGGCAAATCCCTGCCTTATCTTAGCTCATTGGTCACCATAGCAACACCCACTCGTAGTATGCGTTCCAGTAGGTATATCTCACTGGTCATCCCCAAAGCCAACACCTCCTTTGGCCACCATTCCTTCCAGTTCTCTGCTGCAAATGATTGGAACGAACTGCAAAAATCTCTGAAGCTGGAGACACGTATCTCCCTCACTAACTTTAAGCATCAGTTGTCAGAGCAGCTTACCGATCACTGCACCTGTACACAGCCCATCTGTAATTAGCCCACCCAACTACCTCATCCCCATATTGTTATTTACATTGTTATTTGTTTTGCTAATTTGCACCCCAGTATCTCTATTTGCACATCGTCTTCTGCACATCTATCACTCCAGTGTTAATACTAAATTGTAATTATTTTGCACTATGGCCTATTTATTGCCTTACCTCCATAACTTACTACATTTGCACACACTGTATATAGATTTTCTATTGCGTTATTGACTGTATGTTTTGTTTATTCCATATGTAACTCTGTGTTGTTGTTGTTTTTATCGCACTGCTTTGCTTTATCTTGGCCAGGTCGCAGTTGTAAATGAGAACTTGTTCTCAACTGGCTTACCTGGTTAAATAAAGGTGAAATAAAAAATAAATAAATACATTCGTTTCACCAAGAAAATCTTTCTTTAATGGCACACTTTTGACAAGACGGAGATCGTGCAATATGACTAGACAGTTAGAGAAGTGTTGGCTATTGGTGAGAGTTATTATTTGATACTTTCTGAACCATAATGCTATCCAACCACCTCTAAATATGACTGATACAGTACAAACAAAGGTTGATGCTAGCTGATATGATGCATACTAATACAACATCTAAAAATTGATCCTTTAATGACAGTATGGCACATCTCTTTGTTGATACGTCTATTCAGTAGTTGGAGGTGTTTTGAGGTACTCTATTATCCATTAGCTGTGAAAGCTTGGCCAGAAATATCAGCACATGCAAATTATCTATACCCTATCATGACATATCACACCTTTAATTAGACACAATCGCCATGGTGTTTTTTCTGTAGATGCGTGGCTGGCTGTAACACATCACCAGTCTGGGCCAGCTAATCATGCTCTCCCATCTGCTTTGATGTGCTGTCCCTGGTAATGAGCGTGATATTACAGTATATACTGGCATGGCAGTCAGCAGCTCTCTGCTTTTGAAGATGGAAGGAGAGGAAGTGTTAATGAGTGAGTGTGGTGTTGGATATCAGTGGTCTTTTGGTCCAGGTGTGTGTGTTTGTATATGTGTATGTGTGGGTGTATGTGTTTTGGGCCATCAAGTCCGTCATAATTTATGGCATGATACAGGGTTATGATAGCAATATAATATAGGGGCAGATTAGATTATCATGGGTGATAATGCATCAAATTGGTATGCAGAGGAGGTAGATTATTTCATCAAATCTTGTTGATAGTTTCATATGACAATAATAAGTAATACAATTGTTGATATCAGACCTTCATAAATGTTGAAGCATGTGTGTGTGTGTGTAGTGTTGCTGGTGAGGGCCGACTCATGCCCGTAGCAGAATGAAGACATGCCTGGCTAGGCTATGCAGCCCCTACTGGTTTATGCACAATTTCAGATGCTGTTTTTTCACATTAGCCTTTGTTTGTTTGTGCTTGGTTAGACATCTCCCTTCTCCAGGCATGGAGTCCCACGTGCATACATGTCTACTCCTCTTCCTCCTCCCTCTCTCCCCTTGGGAGACGGATGGTGAAACATCAGTGAAACACTGGCTATTTCATATCTATCAGAGATCTCAGTAAAAACCAGGGAAATAGTGCACACTTGAAACACCTCAGTTTATTCAGTAGTTGCTGTGTGTGAATGTAATTGTTTGCCTCCTGGTGTTTCTATACCTCTGTATGTGTTCTCCAGTCATCCGCTTACCTGGCTGTCATGGAGTGTGTGCGTGCGTGTGTCTGTGTCTGTGCCACAGGAGGCTGCTGAGGGGAGAACGGCCGGAACGTGTTTGATGTATTTGATACCATTCCACCTATTCCGCTCCGGTCATTATCACGAGCCCGTTCTCCCAATGAAGGTGCCACCAACCTCCTGTGGTGTGTTCGTGTGTTTGCGCGTGTGTGTGTGTGTGTGTGTCTGTAGGATACACTCATCACATCTATGATGTGAACACGACCCCACAGCTTAACAGTCTACAGACTGTCTTCTGAATCACATTGTAAACAAAGCCGCCTAACTTCCTCTTGAAGAGTGAGTCCTGGAGTGTGACAGATATATTTGCAGTAGGTGAGTCGTGATGGAGTTCTGATTGTCAGCTCGCAGCAGAGACAGCAAAAACAGATACACTATACATACAAAAGTATGTGGACACCCCTTCATATTAGTGGATTCGGCTAGTTCAGCCACACCCGTTGCTGACAGGTGTATAAAATTGAGCACACAGCCATGCAATCTCCATTGGCAGTAGAACGGCCTTACTGAAGAGCTCAGTGACTTTCAACGTGGCACCGTCATAGGATGCCACCTTTCCAACAAGTTAGTTCGTCAAATGTCTGCCATGTTAGAGCTGCCCCGGTCAACTGTTAGTGCTGTTATTGTGAAGTGGAAACGTCTAGGAGCAACAAAGGCTCAGCCGTGAAGTAGTAGGCAATCCGACGGACGAATCTGGGTTTGGCGGATGCCAGGAGAACACTATCTGCCCCAATGCATAGTGCCAATTGTAAAATTTGGTGGTTGAGGAATAATGGTCTGGGGCTGTTTGGCATGGTTCGGGCTAGGCCCCTTAGTTCCAGTGAAGGGAAATCTTAACGCTATAGCATACAATGAATGACATTCTAGACGATTCTGTGCTTCCGACATTGTGGCAACAGCTTGGAGAAGGCCCTTTCCTGTTTCAGCATGACAATGCCCCCGTGCACAAAGCGAGGTCCATACAGAAATGGTTTGTCGAGATAGGGTTGGAAGAACTTGATTGGCCTGCACAGAGCCCTGACCTCAACCCCATCGAACACCTTTGGAATGCCGACTGCGAGCCAGTGTCACGACTTCCGCCGAGGCTGCCTGCCCTCCTTGTTCAGGCAGGTTTCGGCATTCGTCGTCACTGGCTTACTAGCTACTGCCGATCCCATTCACATCACTCATGTCTTGTCTTGTCAATCACACACACCTGGTGCTCATTCCCCTAATTAGTATGTGTATAAGTGTTCCCTCTGTTCCCCTTGTCTTTGTGAGTGATTGTTTCATTGTGAGAGCGAGTAGCTCTCTTCCATTTGTTGTTGCCAAGGTGGTACATTTTCCGTTGTGATAGTTTTGTTTTGACGCTGGGTGCGTTTTATTTATGTAAACGGAATAAACTCTGGACTTCGGTGTTTTACCTCCTGCGCCTGACTCCTTCATTCACATCTCGTCACAGAATCACTCACCCGCTGAATGGAGTCAGCAGGACAGACCACCGTAACCTGGAGTACATTCGGGCAGCGAGGAGGCTGAATCCTCGCCAGGCCAGGTGGACCCTCTTCTTCACCCGGTTTGATTTCACACTCTCACACATTCCGGGTACGAAGAACGTGAAGGCAGATGCACTGTCTCGGCTGTATGACACAGATGAGAGGCCCAGAGACAACACCCCCATACTCCCGGCCTCATGCATTGTGGTGCCGGTAGTATGGGCGATGGACGCGGATATAGCGCAGGCATTACGCACAGATCCATCTCCACCGCAGTCTCCAGCTGGGCTGCAGTACGTGCCTGCGCTTACCCGTGATCGTCTGATCTACTGGGCACACACGTCACCCTCCTCTGGTCATCCAGGTATCGGTCGTACAATGCTCTGCCTGACCAAGAAGTACTAGTGGCCTACCTTGGCTAAGGACGTGAGGGTGTATGTTTCCTCCTGTTCAGTGTACACCCAGAGTAAGGCACCTAGGCACCTCCCAGCGGGTAAGCTACAACCTTTACCAGTTCCACAACGACCATGGTCTCACCTTAGTATTGATTTTCTTACTGATCTTCCCCTCTCCCAAGGTAACACCGCTATCCTGGTCATTGTGGATCGCTTTTCAAAGTCCTGCCGCCTCCTTCCTCTGCCCGGTCTCCCCACGGCCCTACAAACTGCGGAGGCTCTGTTTACTCACGTCTTCCGGCACTACAGGGTACCAGAGGATATAGTGTCCGACCGAGGTCCCCAGTTCACGTCTAGAGTCTGTAAGGCGTTCATGAAACGTCTGGGGGTCTCGGTCAGCCTAACCTCTGGATTTCACCCCGAGAGTAATGGGCAGGTGGAAAGGATGAATCAAGATGTGGGTAGGTTCCTGCAGACCTACTGTCAGGACCGGCCGGGGGAGTGGTCAGTGTTCCTGCCATGGGCAGAATACGCTCAGAACTCTCTCCGCCACTCCTCCACTAACCTAATACCCTTCCAATGTGTTTTGGGTTACCAACCGGTCCTGGCACCGTGGCACCAGAGCCAGACCGAGGCTCCTGCGGTGGATGACTGGTTTCGGCGCGCGGAGGAGACTTGGGACGCTGCCCACGTTCGCCTCCAGCGCGTGGTGTGTCGTCAGAAAGCGAACGCTGATCGCCACCGCAGGGAGGCCCCGGTTTACGTACCGGGGGAACGGGTCTGGCTCTCAACCCGGAAGCTGAGCCTGTGGTTTGTGGGGCCATTTAAAGTCATGAGGAGGAAAAACAAGGTTACAAACAGGTTGTTACTCCCTCCTGATTACCATATTAACCCCTCGTTTCATGTGTCTCTCCTCAGGCCGGTGGTAGCTGGTCCGCTCCAGGAATCCAGGAGTCTAAGGTGTGGGAGGTTCCTCCACCTCCTCTGGACATCGAGGGGGCCCCGGCGTACTCGGTCCGTTCCATACTGGAATAGAGGTGTCGGGTGGGGGGCCTTCAGTATCTCGTGGAGTGGGAGGGGTACGGTCCGGAGGAACGGTGCTGGGTCCCAAGGAGGGACATCCTCGATCCCTCCCTGTTGAGGTATTTCCACTGTCGCCATCCGACTCGCCCTGCTCCGCATCCTCCTGGCCGTCCCCGAGGCTGGGGCCGGCGCAACGCTGCGCGTCAAGGGCGGGGTACTGTCACGACTTCCACCGAGGCTGCCTCCCCTCCTTGTTCGGGCAGGTTTCGGCGTTCGTCGTCACCGGCTTACTAGCTACTGCCGATCCCATTCTCATCACTCCACTTGTCATGTCTTGTCTTGTCAATCACACACACCTGGTGCTCATTCCCCTAATTAGTATGTGTATAAGTGTTCCCTCTGTTCCCCTTGTCTGATTGTTTCATTGTGAGAGCGAGTAGCTCGGTTGAGCTACTCTTCCATTTGTTGTTGCCAAGGTGGTATATTTTCCCTTGTGATAGTTTCGTTTTGACGCTGGGTGCGTTTTATTTATGTAAATGGTATAAACTCTGGATTTTGGTGTTTTACCTCCTGCGCCTGACTCCTTCATTCACACCTCGTCACAGCCAGGCCTAATCGCCCAACATCAGTGCCCGTCCTCACTAATGCTCGTGGCTGAATGGAAGTCCCCGCAGCAATGTTCCAACAGCTAGTGGAAAGCCTTCCCAGAAGAGTGGAGGCTGTTGTAGCAGCAAAGGGGGGACCAACTCCATATGAATGCCCATGATTTTGGAATGAGATATTTGACGAGCAGGTGTCCACGTACTTTTGGTCATGTAGTGTATTATCCATCAACATGTAAAATCGTGTCAACTTACAATTGAATATTATCCCAGAGACCATGTCTTACTAACACATTCATTTTCTCACCATGTCACAGGTTATTTATTTGAAATGTGGGTCCCAACCAGTAGCGGGTAAAATCACTGAGGAAGCCAAGCCAAGCCAGTAAAAAAGCCATACAACCTATGTTGTGATAATTGCGTTGTTTGCTCTATAACCCAATAGTTCATATGCCACCGCAAAATACAATAAGGCTGTGACAACAAAAAGACAACAGTCACACAGCGGCGGAATAAATTAAACTACACATAGGTTTGTTTAATCACAAAACCGGTGAGCAAGATCTGTCCGGTGAAGTCCACAAAGCAAATATTGCATACAAACAGTTATATCACATGCAGCATGGTTAGAATTAATAGGTGTGCCTTAAAAGTTAAAAGTTAATTTGTGGAATTTCTTTCCTTCTTAATGCGTTTGAGCTAATCAGTTGTGGCAAGGTTGTGGCAAGGTAGGGGTAGTATACAGAAGATAGCCCTATTTGGTAAAAGACCAAGTCCATATTATGGCAAAAACAGCTCAAATAAGCAAAGAGAAATGACAGTCCATCATTACTTTAAGACATGAAGATCAGTCAACACGGAACATTTCAAGAACTTTGAAAGTTTCTTCAAGTGCAGGCACAAAAAACATAAAGTGCTATGATGAAACTAGCTCTCATGAGGACCGCCACAAGAATGGAAGACCCAGAGTTACCTCTGCTGCAAAGGATAAGTTCATTAGAGTTACCAGCCTCAGAAATTGTAGCCCCAAAAAAACGGTGTGTCTTTGTGAGACGCGGTGTAGGTGAACGGATGATCTCTGCATGTGTGGTTCCCACCGTGAAGCATGGAGTAGGCGGTGTGATGGTGTGGGGGTGCTTTGCTGGTAATACTGTCAGTGATTTAGTTAGAATTAAAGGCACACATAACCAGTATGGCTACCACAGCATTCTGCAGCGATACACCATCCCATCTGGTTTGCGCTTAGTGGGACTGTCATTTGTTTTTCAACAGGACAATGACCCAACACACCTCCAGGCTGTGTAAGGGCTATTTGACCAAGAAGGAGAGTGATGGAGTGCTGCATCAGATGACCTGGCCTCGACAATCACCCGCCCTCAACCCAATCACCCGACCTCAACCCACTCCCGAGTGGCGCAGTGGTCTAAGGCACTGCATCGCAGTGCTAGCTGTGCCACGAGAGATCCTGGTTCGAGTCCAGGCTCTGTCGCAGCAGGCCGCGACCGGGAGACCCATG